GAAGCTAGGAAGCTGAAAATTTAGGGGAACGTTCTCCACCCAAGTCTGACCCCGCAAATTTAAATCCAGCCTCTCCGTACCAGCGGGTAACACTTACGACCCTGCAAAAGTTTGGGTGGATAAAATCATTACCACGGGAACCACGGAAGCTAAAGGGCTGAAATTTTGTGGGTGCTACCCAGGGAATTTAAATTCAGCCTTCTCTTACCCGCGGGTAAAACGAACGGCCCCCTAAAAATCTTGGCGGGCAAATTATTATCTCGGGAACCATGGAATCTAAGAAGCTGAAGTTTTACGATAATGACCCCCCGCCTAAGCACGATCTCACAACTTCAACTTCAGCGTTCCCGCGCTCTCGGGTATCACCTACGGCTCCGTGAAAATTTCGGCAGGTGAGTTATTATCTCGGGAACCACAAAATCTACGAATCTAGGTAGCTGAAATTTTACGGCAATGACCCTCTGCCCACGTACGATCTCATGAATCTAAATTCAGCCTTCTCGCGCTTTCAGGTGTCACTTACGGCCTCATGAAAGTTTCAGCGGGGAAAATTGTTATTTCGGGAACTATCAAACTTGGGAGTTTTAAATTTTAATGGCAAATTTACGGGGGTCGATGCCCTCTATCAACATACGACCCCCGTAAATTTGGATTCAGCCTTCACGCAGCCCTGGGTACCACGTACGGCCACGTGAAAGTTTTGGCAAAAAAATTGTCTCGTGAACTGCAAAAGCTAAGAAGCTGAAATTTTAGCGTGGCGTCCTCTGTGCAACTCCGCAAATTCTCAACGTCCCCGTGGAAGTTTTGGCGAGAAAAATCATTATCTCGGGAGTCAAAAAAGTTAGGCTGAAATTTTCAGGAGAATGTTTTCTGCCTAAGCAGAGGCTTCATAAACTCGAATTCAGTTCCTAAGTATGCCGAGGTCTCACATACGACCACGTGGAAGTTTTGTCTTAAAGATCGCTTGAAAGCCAGAAAATTAGATTAAAATTTTGAAAGAATTCACCCGTCGAGGATTCAAATTCAGTTTTCACGTGCCGGTGCATGAAATTTTTAACTATATTTCAACCCTTCAATTATTTTTGCACAGACTAAAGTACAAAGCAGTAAAAATCATTAATGGGCAATCGTTCGGTGGACGGAATTGCACAAAATGCATGATCGCACTGGCTACTTTGGTACGTGCTGCTATTTATTTGCATTTAGTCTGAAACTTGATGTTGAGAGGAAGTTAACAATTTTGGACAAGTTACCTAGAGCCTCACCAATACCAAAATAACCCGTTTCCATGGCCTTTGCAGCTCGAACGCGTACCAGAAAATAAATGCATACTGCGCGACCGCGCCGAGCCAAGTTTCTGTATTTGCCCGTTTCCTCAGCAGACGGTTTAGAATGAAGATGTGGCTTCTCCGGCTTATTTGCAATCCGATTTTCCCGGCGCAGCCCCACCTGTGCCTTATTATTTGCAAGCTTTTTTTGCGCTGAACGGATTTTAACTTCCCGCGAAAAACTATAAACTTGGCAGATCCGAGGGGAAGGTCTTTCGTCCCCAGGTAGCAGCTGTTTTACTGCAGAAAATTCTATTCGATACTTATGTTGCCCCCGTCAGTAGCTTCCCTCTCCTTTCCTCTGGTCAGTAGCTTCCCTCTCCTTTCTCCTGGTCGTCGCCGCAATTTAGGGTTGACTAGCGGGGAGGGAAGGGGCTGTAGCGGGACAATCGAGGAGAGAGGAGTAGCGGGGTGGCCAAGGGGAGGGGGTTGGTGGGGTTTCCGGTGTAGTGACGGACGAGGAGGAGGAGAGGAGTAAAAATCGCCCTCACCCGGAGACTGGCCCTGGATCCTCCTATGCCCGCCTATGTTTGACTGCTCATTCGGTGCTATCCGGACACAGTGCTTTCCTGGCCTGTCTGCGACTGCCCTAACATGAGAAACAATGGCTCTCGCCTGGTCACCAATCGCACACCGAACTGACACGCATACCTGCGAGGATGCGCAAAC